CCGGCCAGAGTCGCAAAGGGGATGCAGTTTGTCAACAGCTCAGAGAACACACTTAACCCCCCAGTGCTCCCTGCCAACTGCCCACGCCCAGCCCTCCGCCCAGGGAGTCCAGGGGCGGCAGGGCTGCATGTGATTTTGGTCACGGGGCAGGTGCCAGCCTTGCAATGCCCCACCTCTGCCCCTCCGGCCTGCCCTAGAAGTAGGTGCAAGAGCCCAGCTCCATGCCATGCCCTGTGTCTCTGGCCCCCATCACTGCAGTGTCTGAGCACCCCACGATCTTCACCACCCCCCAGGAGGCAAGGAGAGCTGTTACGCCCATGGTACTGCATGTGATTTTGGTCACGGGGCAGGTGCCAGCCTTGCAATGCCCCACCTCTGCCCCTCCGGCCTGCCCTAGAAGTAGGTGCAAGAGCCCAGCTCCATGCCATGCCCTGTGTCTCTGGCCCCCATCACTGCAGTGTCTGAGCACCCCACGATCTTCACCACCCCCCAGGAGGCAAGGAGAGCTGTTACGCCCATGGTACAAATAACACCAGCCAGCTCTTGTCAGCGGTAGACCTCAAAGCGCTTTAGAAAGGTGGTCGGGATCTGCCGGGGAAACTGAGGCATTGGCAGGTCACATGACTTATCCAAGGTCACCCTGCACAGGCCAGCAGCAGAGCTGGGACTAGACCCCGGGACTCCTGAGTCCCCATCCAGTGCACTAACCACAAGGCAATACTGCTGAATAACTGACTTGTTCAGGAAGTTTATGGCACAGCAAGGAACTAAGCCCAGGTCTCCTAAGTCCGTGGCTAGTGAACTAGCTGCTCCAGCGTCCCTGTAAGCTGAGCACTTGGGTGGTTGCCCAAGAGATTCAAATACTGTCCAGCTGCTTAGTAAAGCAAGCACAGTCAACAGCAGGTGTTTCTACCAGGGGTGCACATTTGCACATGTAACAAAATTTACTCCACACACGGGTGGAAAAAATGAGAGGGAACATTGCCCCTTGCCCATCCTTCCTCTGCATTAGCTGCTAATTAGCACCTGTTGTAATGGTGGCTGTCGGCACAGGGACTCACCCATTGTGAATGAGGCCGAGACCACAAACGCTTTTCACATGTGCCACCGAACAGCTGCTGCTAACTCCCCAGGGCTGGGGATCCGAGCTGCTGACTTGTACCCGTCTAGCCCGCAACACTGCCCTACCACTCAGCAAGCTGGGAAAATGCATCTCACGGACCCGCCCGAGCAGCCTCGGAAGAGAAAAACCCGGGGCTGAAGATCTCCCTGGCCAGAACGTGAGCGGAGCCCACCATGTGCTTCGAGATCTACCAATGGACAGCTCGGTATTATCACCACCACCAGCCTGGCCCCCGTCGAACGACAGCGGAGCCACTTGATTTGCAGCTCGGGCCGTTAAAGGAAGGCGACAAGATGGGCGACGCAGAGAACACGGCCAGAAAGGCCGATCCCAGCCCCGTGCCGCCCGACCTGCGTTCCCATAGGACAGAGGAACTTGGCAAGTCCTCCCTGAAGTTTCTCAGCTTGTGTTTCGCCCTAGGACCCTCGAAGCCCGTCCTGGGGTTTCCAGCTGCTCCATACGCACCTGCATGTGAGGCAGCAAGGCCGAGGGGTAGCGGATGTTCATGGGGTGGCGCCCTAGCTGCTCGGACGGGTCACCTGAGTCCACACCGGGCCCTTGCTCTAGGACAGAAGCAGAAGGAGGGGAAAGGATTGAAAATAAACAGGGGCGACTAACCTGTGAGCAGCCGGCCAGGCCGTCTCAGGGCCCGGCGTCTCCAGCGGGCATGGGAGGGAGCTGGGTGAAGCGGCCGGAGGGGCCGAGCCTGAGTAAGCCACTGCAGAAATTCTCGGCTCAGCTTACCGGCTAGATAAATATAGTGTCTTATCTGACCTCACAGGGAGCTGGAGCCCTCCTCTTGCATCCCAGCATGGGGAGGCTTAAAGAGGCAGCTGCGCAGAGCGCGGGAGAGGGGTTCCCGTGTCCTGGGGGCCGGGCCCGGCCTGGAGAGGGGGCTCCGGGGAGGGGAGGAGGCGGAGGCGGACTGGGGGAAGGAGAAGCTTTGGGATTCGGGGGTGGGGGGAAGAGAAGGGGGGGGGGGGCGTGAGGGGGAACCACACAAGGGGAGAAGGGAAGAGAGGGGTTGAGGCCAAGGGAGGGGAGACAGGATTGCTGGGGAGAAGGATGAATAGCAGGCAACTGCCCACAAGGGACCCCAGAAATGCTGCTTGCTGGCACCCAGCCCAGCTCCGTCTGGGAGGAACAGCATCCTCCCCAGGAAAGCAGTGGACTGGGACATGGTCCCTCCTGCTCTCCTGGCAGGCAGATGCCACGGTGCTGAGTGTGGGACCCGGGAGGAGATGGTGAGGAGGAGCCCAGACAGTGCACAGCCCCACGCTGACCCCGAGGGGCCGGGGGTCCATATGGCACCCGTGGGTGCTTCTGGGATCCTCTGTGAGAGCTCCACCCCCTCTGCTTGGCCTGACAGCAGTGGGGTGGCCCTCCTGGGGGCGGGAGATGGGGCCCAGGGAGCTTTGTGCAAGCTAGGCCGTTCGCCCCCTTCTGCCCCTCCAGGGCTCTTCAGCGAGAGGGATGCAGCCGCTCCTGGCAGGCAGCAGAGCCAGGGAGGTGCCTGGCCAGAAGGCCCAGGGTCAGCGTCACCCTGGCGTAACTCCCCTGAAGTCAGTGCCCGCGTGAATCGGGGCTGCTCGGGGCATCGGAGGGCAGTGACTCAGTCCTGTGAAATCAAGCTGCCACTTCCCTCCCTGTTCCCCTCACCTGGATGCTACAGCCCAGGTATGGCGCTGGGAAAACACTTGGGCCTCTTTTATCCCTCGGGGGCCCACGGGACGATGCCAGGGATCTATCGGGCGCTGCGACACCGGGGAAGGCCCCTTTTCCAGCAGCTCCACCCTGAGCCGGGAGAATGTTTCTCCTCCCGCTGTGCTCGCTGCCACTTCCCTCCCTGTTCCCCTCACCTGGATGCTACAGCCCAGGTATGGCGCTGGGAAAACACTTGGGCCTCTTTTATCCCTCGGGGGCCCACGGGACGATGCCAGGGATCTATCGGGCGCTGCGACACCGGGGAAGGCCCCTTTTCCAGCAGCTCCACCCTGAGCCGGGAGAATGTTTCTCCTCCCGCTGTGCTCAGGGAGCCTGCTCTCTTCGGGCCCAGTCAGCTCAGCAGCTCTGCTCACGGGCGCCGGAGACAGGCACTCGGCCGGACGGCCCCTCTCGCCCACGGCTTGGGGGAGGGAGCTGGAGGATCCCGGGGCCACAGGGAGGCACATGTGCACCCGCAGGGCGTGCTGGCACGGCCCAGGTGCGCGTGCGGCGAGGCACGAGTGCACGCGCACGCAGGGGGGCTGCAGGCCTGGCTCTGGGGGGCTGGCGCTGATCTGGGGGAATGAAGCAGACTGGGCACGTGCCCAGGCCTCCCTCTGCCCAGACCCTGCCTTTGCTGTGGGGCAGGGGAGCAGCCGTGTCACATTCTCCCCCGTCCCCCGCCCCCCGCCCGCAGGATGGGGCACGCCCCTAACACCCAGATGACTCTGGCAGGAGCTGAGTGGGGGAAGAGATTTTCTCAGCGAGGCCCCAGCCCCATGCCCACCGCTTATACAGAGCCGAGCCGAGCCGGGGCTGGCACAACCCCCCGGGGCTGGCCTGGCCAGATTTGCTTTTGTGGGGTGGAGGCTGGCGGGAAGCAGAGGGCATGGCCTGGGGGGAGGGAACCCTGACAGACACAGAGCCTCACTGCGCCATAAGGCCACATGGCCCCTAGAGCCTGCTCAGGTGGGGCTGGCACTGCCATTGCTCCAGGGAGCCAGGCACCCCTAGGTCTCCCCAGGTGGGGCTGGCTCCCCTAGATCCCCCAGGTGGGGCTGGGCACCAGTAGCTCCCCCCTAGGTAGGGCTGGCACTTCCCCGGGGGTGGGGGTGTTGGCTCCCCTAGTTCTCCTCAGGTGAGGCTGGCACTTCCCAGGGGGACAGGCAGCTGTAGTTTCCTCCCCAGGTGGGGCTGGCACTGTGCCAGGGGGGGCTCCCCTAGATCCCCCCCAGATGGGGCTGGCACTGTGCCATGAAGGGGGGCTCCCCTAGATCCCCCCCAGATGGGGCTGGCACTGTGCCATGAAGGGGGGCTCCCCTAGATCCCCCCCAGATGGGGCTGGCACTGTGCCATGAAGGGGGGCTCCCCTAGATCCCCCCCAGATGGGGCTGGCACTGTGCCATGAAGGGGGGCTCCCCTAGATCCCCCCCAGATGGGGCTGGCACTGTGCCATGAAGGGGGGCTCCCCTAGATCCCCCCCAGATGGGGCTGGCACTGTGCCATGAAGGGGGGCTCCCCTAGATCCCCCCCAGATGGGGCTGGCACTGTGCCATGAAGGGGGGCTCCCCTAGATCCCCCCCAGATGGGGCTGGCACTGTGCCATGAAGGGGGGCTCCCCTAGATCCCCCCCAGATGGGGCTGGCACTGTGCCATGAAGGGGGGCTCCCCTAGATCCCCCCCAGATGGGGCTGGCACTGTGCCATGAAGGGGGGCTCCCCTAGATCCCCCCCAGATGGGGCTGGCACTGTGCCATGAAGGGGGGCTCCCCTAGATCCCCCCCAGATGGGGCTGGCACTGTGCCATGAAGGGGGGCTCCCCTAGATCCCCCCCAGATGGGGCTGGCACTGTGCCATGAAGGGGGGCTCCCCTAGATCCCCCCCAGATGGGGCTGGCACTGTGCCATGAAGGGGGGCTCCCCTAGATCCCCCCCAGATGGGGCTGGCACTGTGCCATGAAGGGGGGCTCCCCTAGATCCCCCCCAGATGGGGCTGGCACTGTGCCATGAAGGGGGGCTCCCCTAGATCCCCCCCAGATGGGGCTGGCACTGTGCCATGAAGGGGGGCTCCCCTAGATCCCCCCCAGATGGGGCTGGCACTGTGCCATGAAGGGGGGCTCCCCTAGATCCCCCCCAGATGGGGCTGGCACTGTGCCATGAAGGGGGGCTCCCCTAGATCCCCCCCAGATGGGGCTGGCACTGTGCCATGAAGGGGGGCTCCCCTAGATCCCCCCCAGATGGGGCTGGCACTGTGCCATGAAGGGGGGCTCCCCTAGATCCCCCCCAGATGGGGCTGGCACTGTGCCATGAAGGGGGGCTCCCCTAGATCCCCCCCAGATGGGGCTGGCACTGTGCCATGAAGGGGGGCTCCCCTAGATCCCCCCCAGATGGGGCTGGCACTGTGCCATGAAGGGGGGCTCCCCTAGATCCCCCCCAGATGGGGCTGGCACTGTGCCATGAAGGGGGGCTCCCCTAGATCCCCCCCAGATGGGGCTGGCACTGTGCCATGAAGGGGGGCTCCCCTAGATCCCCCCCAGATGGGGCTGGCACTGTGCCATGAAGGGGGGCTCCCCTAGATCCCCCCCAGATGGGGCTGGCACTGTGCCATGAAGGGGGGCTCCCCTAGATCCCCCCCAGATGGGGCTGGCACTGTGCCATGAAGGGGGGCTCCCCTAGATCCCCCCCAGATGGGGCTGGCACTGTGCCATGAAGGGGGGCTCCCCTAGATCCCCCCCAGATGGGGCTGGCACTGTGCCATGAAGGGGGGCTCCCCTAGATCCCCCCCAGATGGGGCTGGCACTGTGCCATGAAGGGGGGCTCCCCTAGATCCCCCCCAGATGGGGCTGGCACTGTGCCATGAAGGGGGGCTCCCCTAGATCCCCCCCAGATGGGGCTGGCACTGTGCCATGAAGGGGGGCTCCCCTAGATCCCCCCCAGATGGGGCTGGCACTGTGCCATGAAGGGGGGCTCCCCTAGATCCCCCCCAGATGGGGCTGGCACTGTGCCATGAAGGGGGGCTCCCCTAGATCCCCCCCAGATGGGGCTGGCACTGTGCCATGAAGGGGGGCTCCCCTAGATCCCCCCCAGATGGGGCTGGCACTGTGCCATGAAGGGGGGCTCCCCTAGATCCCCCCCAGGGGGGGCTGGCACTGTGCCAGGGGACCAGGTACCCCCCAGGGCGCACAGAACCGGGGGGGGGGGGCCGCCCCGCACTCACCTGGCTCTGGGCGGGGATGAGCCGGCGCCGGTCCCCTTGGGGCAGCCGCCGAGGCCCGGCCGAGGAGGATGTCACAATCGGGGCGCAGCTGACGCGGGGCGGGGAGGCTGCTGCCGGGCGGGCCCCGTAGGGCCGGGACCGCGGGGAGGGCTGGCGGGGATCCCCGCCCCTGATGCTACTCGGGCCCCCGCCCGTGCGGCTCCCGGGAGCAGCGAGAGGCCGAGGCCGCAGCCAGGCCGGGCGAGCCCGCACGCGGCCGTTTACAGAGCCCCTAGCGCGCCCTCCTCCCCCGGCAGTAGAGGGACTAGGACACACAGCCCAGCAGTCCCGCTTGTCGCCACTAGAGGGCGGGCCAGCGCCAGGCCCGTCCTGACGGCTGCCCCCCGGGAGAGGAAACACAAAGCGCTTCTCCCCCCCCCCCTCCCCCGGCGGAAATAAGGAGGCGCTGGGAATCCAACACACAACCAGGGGTTTATTGTGCAGAGGTCTGGGCCTCCCCCCCCCCAACAGCATTTCTTGTACACCAAGCTGTGGAAACACGACAAATGGTCACGCAACGAGACTAGGAAACACCAGTGGGGGGGTGCCTGGGTCTGCCCCCCGCCCCCTCCCCCGCCATTGCCGTCAGGGGGAGATGCACAGGGCCGGACAGCCGGGCAGGGGAGCGCACTGGACAGCGAACGAGCAGGGGGCCTGGCGGGAAAGCGGCTCACCGGAGCCGGCCGCCGCACTGCGGTTCTCTCACACTCAGCACCCTCGAGCCGAGCAGGGGCTGGGTCCAACTCCCCAGAGCCGGGCACCCTTAGCCCTTCCGGCTCCCCCCCGGCAGCTCGCAGGTCCGTTCCCATCCTCCTGCTTTCCCACGGCCCCGCGTGTGCAGCAGGGGCCGGCCGGGGACCTCTGCTCCTCCCTCGCCCTGCGGCTCGGCCCAGGGGAGATGACCATGTCCGGGGACAGCAAGGTGAAGCCCCCCCCTGCTGGCTAGCTGGGCTCAGGAGAGTCCTTCACTGGGAAGTCCTAGGCCTCCATCCTGGAAGCTCCCTGCTCTGGCCTCAAGCTGGGGACTCTAAGTCTGGGGTGCCTGTCACACAGCAAACTGCTGGCCACAAGAAACACCTGTCGCGGCCTTTCCGGCTCCTGCGGAGAGGCCAGGCCTGCCCAGAGCCCGTCAACCTGCCAGGGAGGAAGACTGCCACCCCCCTGCCCTCTGGCCGGTCGTGCGCTAGCCCGCTGCTGGAGGGAAACTACGCTGCAGGAGGAAAGCCAGGCCAGGCAAGGAGCTGAGCCAGCCCGTCTCACTAGCACCAGGGGACAAACCCAGAGGGCGGCATGCAGGGATGAGAGCCTGGCGCTTAGGGGCAGCCCCTGCTCCTGCCATCTACCCATGACCACTAGGGGGAGACAACCACGTGTGCTAATGAGTGCGGGAGGGGGGAACAGAGTAGCTTTGACTGGTTCTAGAGATGTGGGCGGCGGCAGCACCCCACCCTCCTGGTAGATCCTCTCTTGCCCAGGCCCGTGGCTGGACCTTCGACTGGCAGGCAGCTGCTCCCTCCTGCTTGCTGGGGAGAAAGGCACTTGCCTCTGCCTGGAAATCCCACAGTGAGCTGAGCAAGGAGTTTCTACCAGCTAGTGGCTGGGCAGCCGCTGTCTCCTGCATTCCCTCCCGTGGGGCGAATTCCCCTCTCCCCCCAACCTCCTAACCGAACCGCCAGCCTCTGATCTTACGGGGGAGGGCTTGCTCCCGGAGCGATGGGCCTTTCTGCATGGGCAGGGCTGCAGTGGCACCTCAGTCCTGAAGCTCCTTGCTCTTTTGGTGCCTCTGACCAGTCCGGCCCTGCGCCCCACACGAGCCCTGCAGCACCCCCTTGTGGTGGCTGCAGTCGGGGCTCCATGTAGCGCGACCCTCCCCGCCCACTCAGCATCATGCCTGGTTGTTTTAATGCTGGCCCTTCCCTCCGCTGGAGAAGCAAGCCGTGCCAAGGACCATGGCTTGGTGCAATGGGGGACTGATGGCTGCTAAAGAACAGAATAAGCGCTCACCTAAATTATTCTCCCTGCAGGAGTCAAGCCCAGCTGCCCCGGGGTGAAAAGCTACTGCACAGCCCCCCCCAAAAGCTTTCCCTTTGCCTGAGGTTGGCTAACCCAGGCCAAACCTATCCACAGGAGCACCCCTCCTCTCCAGAGCGAGCAGCCGTTCCCAGGCTGGGGTGTGGCTAAAAGGCCCCCTTCGCTCCCTAACTCTGTGATCATCTCTCTTACCAGAGTCAGGTCCAGGGGCCCCCCTGGGTCTCCTCCTCCTTGAAAGACAAAAAACAGGACAAGCAAAGCTGCACCCTTGCCCCTGAAAACAAACCACCAAACTGGCTATGGAAGAAGCTGCACCATCTAGCAGAGAGCAAGGGAAGGCCACCATGCGTCGGATCCTTTAATACTGCTTAGAAACCCCCCACCCCGGCCCCCAGCGTGGTTTGGACATGTGGTGTGATGGCAGCGGGGGGCAGGCGGTACCGGTAGCTATACAGATATATAGAGAGATATACACAGAGAGATTTCCTTGGTTTCAAATCGTTCTTCGTCTTCTCTTGCAAAGGGCCACGTTCGGGCGGTGGGGCTCGGCCGGTCGGTGCGGGCGCCTGATGCCCACAGCTTGCAGGAGCGGCAGGGACAGGAGCAGGAGCAGCAGCCACGAGGTGTTCTGAATCAAGAGGCTGATGCCGGCACATTTCTCCAGCTTGTCTGCCAGGGCGGGGGGAGAAGGGGGGAAGGGAGGAGAAAGAGAGAAGAGGCAATGTGAGATCCGTGGAGAAAGGACCGATGGGGAGCCGTGAGTCGGGGCACCTGGGTTCTCTGCCCGGCTCTGCCATCGGCCAGCTGCGTAACCATCCCCTCCCTGGCCTCTTTCCCCTCCCACTCTCTCTCTTGTCTAGGGGGCCTGTGAGCTCCTTGGGGCAAGGGAGCAGTTCCCACTGTCTGCCCAGGCTGGCCTGAGAGGGCTCCGCTCTCGCCTGGGGGCTTGTGGTCCTACTACAAGTCCATGCTCGAGTCCATGCTCCGTGTCCCGTCTCCGACAGGGGCCAGCACTAGCTGCTTTGAAGGCAGTGGAAGAAACCCCTCGGGGACAATTATGCATGATCCTGTCCATCCGGACGGATCTTCCTGACCCCAGGGGGCTGCTTGGTGGCACTCTGGGCTGGGAAGAGTCCCCAGAGGGAACCACACAATGTGCGAACAACCCGAGGGGCTGGAATCCCCTCCCTAGAGATCAGGGTGGGCAGAGGTGGGGCTAACTGCCCCGGTGTGGGTCAGTCCTGGGTCCCTGCAGGGGAGGGCTGGCCCCTTCGGTCCTTGTCCTCTGCTGAGCCAGGGTAACAAAGGGGCCAACGAATACCAGCCCCGATGGGCTCTCTGTGTGTGACGTGAGCGACTGTCCACGGAGACTCACTCCCGGCCCACACGTGGGCTGCTGGGAGACGGACAAAGTCTAGAGATCAGGGCGAGGTTCAAAGGGCAGCCAAAGGCACAAGGCTCTGATCCGGCCCATTCCCCAGTTCACGGCTGGTGGCCCTAGGACTTCCAGGGCCCAGCGGAAAGTTGGATGGTAGAGAGTCTCCGAGAGATGTCTGCAAAGGCCCAGGGCACTGGAGGGCCAGATGGCCTTGGAATGTGTGTAGGGGAGGGAGACTCAGTGGGGTGGAAAGTCCTGGCTTACGGGCCGAGATCTCAGCCAGGGGTTGGAATCCCTTTTTGGGTCAGGGGCCGCTGCCCACAAGGGAGCAGCAACCCCCCCCCACCCCAAGATAACCCTGCCCACCCACTGTCACTGACCTAGCCCCTCAAGTGAGGAGGAAAGGCACCACACACACCCCTTCTCCCTCACACGTGTGCCCCCCCAAAAAAGCAGAGAAAAGGGTTAGGGTTAGGGTTAGGGTTAGGGTTAGGGTTAGGGTTAGGGTTAGGGTTAGGGTTAGGGTTAGGGTTAGGGTTAGGGTTAGGGTTAGGGTTAGGGTTAGGGTTAGGGTTAGGGTTAGGGTTAGGGTTAGGGTTAGGGTTAGGGTTAGGGTTAGGGTTAGGGTTAGGGTTAGGGTTAGGGTTAGGGTTAGGGTTAGGGTTAGGGTTAGGGTTAGGGTTAGGGTTAGGGTTAGGGTTAGGGTTAGGGTTAGGGTTAGGGTTAGGGTTAGGGTTAGGGTTAGGGTTAGGGTTAGGGTTAGGGTTAGGGTTAGGGTTAGGGTTAGGGTTAGGGTTAGGGTTAGGGTTAGGGTTAGGGTTAGGGTTAGGGTTAGGGTTAGGGTTAGGGTTAGGGTTAGGGTTAGGGTTAGGGTTAGGGTTAGGGTTAGGGTTAGGGTTAGGGTTAGGGTTAGGGTTAGGGTTAGGGTTAGGGTTAGGGTTAGGGTTAGGGTTAGGGTTAGGGTTAGGAGGGAGGGAGGGTGCAGGTTGGGGTAGGGGTGAAGGTTTTAGGAGGGAGGGAGGGTGCAGGAGTGGATGGGGGTTTTAGGAGGGAGGGAGGGTGCAGGAAAGAGGGAAGGTTTTAGGAGGGAGGGAGGGTGCAGGAGTGGATGGGGGTTTTAGGAGGGAGGGAGGGTGCAGGAGTGGATGGGGGGGTTAGGAGGGAGGGAGGGGGGGAGCGGGGGGGGGGGG